TGTGTGTGTGTGTGTGTGTATGTGTATGTTAGACCAGTTTATGTGTTTATGTAGTATGTTAGACTAGTTTAAGTGTTTATGTAGTTAATAAAACCTTACTTGTATCACACTTGACGTGGTTCATTGTTTGCTTATAACTGGAGTCACTTAATCATGCAGATTTATGCTACAAGCTTTTGTAGAATTGTACAGTAAGGAAGTTATTTCCCTTAACCAGGAAATTAACGTTCTTAGAATTGACAAGACAGTTGACCCTGAGAGGTCAGCTAAATATCTACAGCGGATCTAAAATATTCATAATTAATTATTTATAATGATTAATATTAATTATTCATATTTCCCATGAGCTGATTCGTTACAAGACAGTATAAGTCATTATAATCTGTAATTATGTCCCCACTGAACACACACACACACACACACACACACAACACATCCAGGCACTCACATAGTAAGCAAAGTAAAAAGCCTTTATTCTAAGACAGGGCTATAAATGAAAAATACACCAAAGTGTATCAGCCCAAGCAGGCCTTTCTCAGGGAGTAAGATAATAGGATAGGATCTAACCACTAGATGTCTCTTGAGAGTTCAATGAGTTCTCAAACAATCCCAAAAAATAAATACAAATTTCACATACAACCCAAGAATGGTAAAGTTAAAAATCCAATATACTCACAAACAATCCAAAAATAATGCAGTAAAAAAATATACAGAAGTATATTTTTAGAAACCTATATACGGATAAATATATCACAATTGAGCAAAAAAAAAACAAAAAAAAAATTTGGTCTTTGTTTATATTATACGATGTTTGTATTTTTTTTGCAACACTATTACCATAATTTGGGACATGCAAAACTACAGTTTATGTGATTTTGTTCTGAGAATAAACATTAAACATCAAGATTAAAAAGACTGAAATTGAAATGAATAAGGGACATGTTAGCTTAAGATAATAGTGTATCAAACATATCAGCATCTCAAACACAAGAAGAAACAATTGTGTCTCTGATGCTTCATGATAATGTGTGTACAATGTGTACTATATTTTTTGGAAAGACCTAATATTTTAACACATACATCATTTGACAAAACGAATAATTTAAATATTTTAGAATAAAATATTAGGCCTATTACAAATTATAATAGAATAATTGTAAAATACCAACTTTGTTTTTTGTTTTTTCTTCACATCTCGAGCTTCAGCTTCTCTAGCACCGTTGTCTCATTGGAAAGACAATTAAATATAATATTGACTTGAAGAAACACAATATTACAGTATTTACGGTAGTTTGACAGCTACAGACTGTTAATTTGTCAGCAGTATTTAGCGTATTTTTTCTTTATATCGACACTTATTTAATTTAATTTAATTTAATTTAATTTATTTTAATTTAATTTAATTTAATTTAATTTAATTTAATTTAATTTAATTTAATTTAATTTAATTTAATTTAATTTAATTTAATTTAATTTAATTTAATTTAATTTAATTTAATTTAATTTAATTTAATTTAATTTAATTTAATTTAATTTAATTTAATTTAATTTAATTTAATTTAATTTAATTTAATTTAATTTAATTTAATTTAATTTAATTTAATTTAATTTAATAGGCAATCGAGTTGCTTTTATTTTGAAATATAGGGATTGGTATTGGGGTACTATGACGAAGGTTTCTCCAAATATTAATATTTCAAGCCTTCGCCTTTGAAAGGCAAGAACTTATCGTCCGCCTTTAAAAATTAATATTCATGACCAAGGACTTCGCTATTGGAACCTGAGCGCGGCCTACTTAATATTCATAAGCTCTGCCTTTACCGTAGTAGGGAAGAGATGCGCTATCACATGATTATAAACACATGATCACATGACAGAGAATCAGTTGCGCTTCAAAATGGCTTTGGGATGTAATAGGTTTCAGAAAGCCTCTGCAGTACTTGCAGTAGTTTTGGCGTGTGTTTTATGCGCGCCGTGTGCTGCTCGCTCGCACAGATATGCAGCTCAGCTGGAGTCTGCAACAGCAGCAGCGGAGGAGGAGGCGCAGTGGTTCATCCAGAGACTCGATCACTTCAACGGGGCCGAGGCTCGAGTCTGGAAACAGGTACTTCACTGCACTTTAAAATTTTTTTTTAAATTTTTTTATTTTATTGTTGGACAAGCCAGACTTGCAATTTACTTCACAAAGGAGAAATAGAAAGGAGAACAGACATGGTGTTGAATATAAGTATTTATAATATTTTACAATAATTGTAACATTTATAGTAATTTACTATAATATTTTTATTTACAATATTTTAGTATTTATAATACAAGTATTTACTAATGAATGATATGGAGTCTTTTAAATTACAGTGATGTTATAGCAATATCATCTGTTTGTACATGTGATTCAGTGATTTTGTTTGAAATAAAATGTATTTCTAAAATCTCTATCTCTAACTAAAACCTGTTGAAATGAGATAAACGTGAACTGAATAAAATAAAATGTAAAAACACGTATTTTTTTATTTTATTTCAGCTGCCAACGTTTCTCAACTGTATTTCATTTATCTTGATGTACTCAAATAACAACAACTGAAACAAATGAATGAATACTGTATAGATGTATTGACATATTTAAAATAAGTCAAAAAAAATGACAAAAGCACACTACAAAATTACTAAAGCGTAACTAAAATTAACTAAAATTAAAATAAAAAAAACAAGTACAGGGATATCCTGGACGAAAACCTTCTCCAGAGTGCTCAGGACCTCAGACTGGGCCGAAGGTTTACCTTCCAACAAGACAATGACCTTAAGCACACAGCTAAAATAATGAAGGAGTGGCTTCACAACAAGTCTGTGACTGTTCTTGAATGGCCCATCCAGAGCTCTGACTTAAACCCAATTGAGCATCTCTGGAGAGACCTAAAAATTGCTGTCCACCAACGTTTACCATCCAACCTGCCAGAACTGGAGAGGCTCTGCAAGGAGGAATGGCAGAGGATCCCCAAGTCCAGGTGTGAAAAACTTGTTGCATCTTTCCCAAAAAGACTCATGGCTGTATTAGATCAAAAGGGTGCTTCTACTAAATACTGAGCAAAGGGTCTGAATACTTAGGACCATGTGATATTTCAGTTTTTCTTTTTTAATAAATCTGCAAAAATGTCAACAATTTTGTGTTTTTCTGTCAATATGGGGTGCTGTGTGTACATTAATGAGGAAAAAAAATTAACTTAAATGATTTTAGCAAATGGCTGCAATATAACAAAGAGTGAAAAATTTAAAGGGGTCTGAATACTTTCCGTACCCACTGTATATATTTTTTTCACATTTTTATGACACTAAAGGTTCAACAACCGGTTTCTTCTTCAGAGATATTTCGTGAATGACACCTTCTATAGACCCGGTGGTCCGGTCTTCCTGATGATCGGGGGTGAAGGTCCGGCAAACCCCGCCTGGATGCAGTACGGAACCTGGCTGCTTTACGCACAGAAACTGGGCGCCTTGTGCTTGTTACTGGAGCACCGATTCTACGGGAAGAGTCACCCGAGGGACCCTCCGAAAGAAAGAAAGAAAGAAAGAAAGAAAGAAAGAGTGAGCTTAACAAGGCCATTCAGGTTTATGAACACTAGATGGTGCTACAAGCCAGTAACTACACAGCTGTTCTTTACACACTTTCCAACCATCCGTCATCTAAAGATGCTTTTCAGCATTCAATCAATTGTTGGATAAAATTGAGATAACTTCTAAATTCCCTCTTTACAATTTAGGTACTTGTTGAATGTTCTGTTTTTGCTCAGAAATACATCGAATTCTGCAATTAAAATGTCAGTTTTGTTATCTTGACTTTTCTACTGTTTTAGGCTTTTAACCATGAAAAATCACTGTAACATGCTGCCTTTATTTATAAAATGGCAGAAATATTAAATTATTTACACTACTGTTCAATAAGATTCTTTTAATGTTTCTGAAAGAAGCTTCTTCTGCTCACTTTAGGCTGCATTATTTGATAAAAAAAAACAGTAATATTGTGAAATATTATTACAATTTCAAATAACTGTTTTCAATGTGAATATATTATAATAAAATGTATTTTATTTCTGTGATGCGCAGCTGTATTTTCAGCATCATTACTCCAGTCTTCAGTGTCACATGATCTTCAGAAATCATTCTAATATGCTGATTTGCTGCTCGAGAAACATTTCTGATTATTATCAATGTTGAAAACAGTTGTGCAGCTTAATATGTTTGTGGAAACCGTGATGCATTTTATTTTTCAGGATTCACAGATGAACAGAAAGTTCAAAAGAGCAGCATTTATTTGAGTTAGGAATCTTTTATAACATTTTATATAAATGTCTTTACTGTCACGTTTTATCAATTTAATCAATTTAAAAAATAATAATCTAAACCTAGTTACAACTTACTGCTTGAGCAGTACACAATGAACACAAAAGGAATGTTTAAAATCAAATTTACTTTAAGGTACCAATATAAAAACATCAGCATTATACAAAAAGTGCAATCTTCCTACAAAGAGTTGTGGTTGTTGCAACAACAAAGAAACATATTAGAATAAGTCAAAAGAACAGAATTCATTTGAAGTCTTTTGTAACATAAATGTCTTTACCGTCAATTTTGATCAGTTTATTGTGCCTTTGATAAATAAAAGTATTCATTTATTTAAAAAATCTTACTGACCCAAGACTTTTGAATGGTAGTGTAAATATTACAAAAATATAAAGTAGTATAAATGTAGTTTATACTTGTCTCTGTCGCACCTTATTTCTTGTTTCCAGTCTGCTTTTCTTGTCTTGTTTGCTCTTTCCCTCTGTTCCTCAACCCCCCGTCTCTTTCCTCCATGTTTCTGAACAGCTGGATGTCACCATAACATCCGAACCACTTTAAAGCAGGACCTCTCCCTGACCTACAGCTACACACACACACACACACACACACACACACGAATCACCAGTCGTCATGACTGAGGTCTGCCGAGGGTGTTTATTATGTCTGTTGGGTCATATTTAAAACAACGCCCCCATACAGACATTAAAATGAAAAATAAACCAAGGGTTAATTATGGCGATGAGCAACTGTCTCTGCAGTGGAGACACGAGATGCATGTGTTTTGCCTGTTAGAAGAATCCCAGAGCTCTCCGTCTGTGTGGTTAGATGACGTGAATGACTCCATGTCTGTCGATGCAGATGTCAAACTCTGTGACTGTGGTCTGTCCTGCAGTGAGCATCGCTCCTCAGGATAGTGATGTCGCACTGACCACTTTCACAGCATTTCATTGTGAACCGCTCTTAGATCATTGCAGCGCTAGAACAATAGCGTCTCACATTGTGTCCTCTCATCTCATCGCATTGTTTGTCCAGTCTGTTGCCTGAAACGATGCTGGATCTTCTCGGTTTGCGCTGGTCATTTCTGTGAGACATGCATGATTATGTTGACCGCTGTTTCTGCTCTCATCCAGCCAGATAATAAGGCGTTTGGTTTGCAAAATTACTTTTAGACCATGTCTAAAAACACTAAACTTCAGCCTAAAACATGTGCCATGAATGATTCCTTAAAGGAATATTTCACCCAGAAGTGAAAATTTGCTGAAAATGTCCTCACCTACAGGCCATCCAAGATGTAGATGAGTTTGTTTCTTCATCAGATTTGGAGAAATGTAGCATTGCATCACTTGCTCACCAATGGATGCTCTGCAGTGAATGGGTGCCGTCAGAACGAGAGTCCAAACAGCTGATAAAAACATCACAATAATCCACACCACTCCAGTCCATCAGTTAACATCTTGTGAAGAGAAAATATGCTTGTTTGTAATAAACAAATCCATTGTTTAGACCGTTGTTTCTGGCTAAAATACGAGTCCGTAATCCATAATAACGCTTTCTACAGTGACAAAGTGGTCTCGTCTAAATCAGGAGAGAAATCTGCACAGATCAAGCGCCGTTTACAAGCCAAAACAGCTCTAAACAAATATGTGGGTCGATTTTAATGTGAGAGACAACAGAAGATGGACTTTATCACAGGATAAAGTGTTATTATGGCTTATGGACTTGTATTTAGGCCCAAAGTGACTGTTTAAAGTTAAAAACATCTTGATGGAATTATTTCTTATAAACATACAGCTTTTGGCATCTCCAGAATTAACTGATGGACTGGAGTGGTGTGGATTATTGTGATGTTTTTATCAGCTGTTTGGACTCTCATTCTGACGGCACCCATTCACTGCAGAGGATCCGTTGGTGAGCAAGTGATGCAATGCTACATTTCTCCAAATCTGATGAAGAAACAAACTCATCCTCATCTTGGATGGCCTGAGGGTGAGGACATTTAATGCATTTAGGATCAAGTGAACTAGATATAAATGAGATCTCAATCCTGTTATCTGCTCCTTCTCTCCTTTTTTTCAGAACAATAAATGAGTCCAGATGAAACAACATAATCATGCTCTCTGATGAGTGTTTTTGTTTCTCTTTTGTAAGTTGCTTTGGATAAAAGTGGCTGCTAAATGCAGAAGTGTAATTTTGTTGTATAATGTAATTTTCTTCTGTGGTTGCAGAATATTTAGAGGTTGTGTGGCGATCGCTGGCGGCGGAAAACCCAGAGTGCCCTCTAGTGGTGAAGAAAGCATCGGACACGCTGGTAGAGCGACTTAATGACCCGAAAACTTATGACAACATCACAAAAGACTTCAGGTAACTCATGCACAAACAGTAAAACATTTCTAATGTTACAAAAGATTTCTATTTCAAATAAATGCTGTTCTTCTGAACTTTCTATTCATCAAAGAATCCAGAAAAACAAAATGCATCACGGTTTTCCACAAAAATATGAAGCAGAAAAACTGTTTTTAACATTGATAATAATCAGAAATGTTTCTTAAGCAGCAAATCACTGAAGACACTAAAGACTGGAGTAATTAAAATTCAGCTTTGATCAAAGAAATCAATTATATTTTATAATATATTCCATTAGAAAACAGTTATTTTAAATTGTAATAATATTCACACTGTTACTATTTTACCCTATTTTGATCAAAAAATGTAGTGAGCACAAGAGCCTTCTTTCAAAAACATAAAACAAATCTGACAGACCCCAAACTTTTGAACAGAAGTGAATAGTGTGCGAACTTAATTGCATTTGTTTTTAGATTTATGTCACTTAATAAAGTGACATATTTCTAAGTGAAACAGAATATTCAGCTGTTTGACAGGGCTTGACTTGAACCATCCGGATTTGATGGGAAATGCTCTATGATATTATTGTGTAATATTTATTTTCCCCAACATGTCCTTGATTACATCAGAAGGAGAAAAGTAGTCATTTTTGAGGAGGAGTAAGTTATTCTTTATTCACATTATTCACAAAGTTAGATTTTAATGTAATTTTTAGTTTATAAGGGCAATAAATAGAGTGAATTTTTAAATTAATGTTGAGTTAAAATAACTTTTGCAAGGATGCGTTTATTTAAAGTACTTGAGCTGGGGATTGTATAGGTTTGTAATGGCATAGGAACATGAGACAATGTATAATACATGTGTTTTAGAAGGACTGAAAAGGCCTTTCTGTTGCAGTTGTAGCCGCTGGACTGTGACTATCCTGGTTTCAGTGTCCTTCTTAGTTCCGTTCGACTTGGGGTGTGTGTGTGCGCGTCTGTGTGTGTGTGTGTGTGTCTGTGTGTGCGCGTGTGTGTGTGTGTGTGTGTGTGTGTGTGCGCGTCTGTGTGTGTGTGCGTGTGTGTGCGTGTGTGTGAGAGTGATTCTGAGATCCTGGAATGCTGTCTGTGCTCTGTAGCTCAGATATGGACCAGGGTCAATCGTCTCAGCACGACCCACAGAAAGAAAACACTCAATCTAAAACATCCTTCATCTTTCTCTTCCTTCCGGCCTGCAGAGTTTCTGCTGTGATGCCTCTGGCTGTGTTAGTAATGGAGTACAAGTGAACTGCGTACTATTCCATAAATGAAATCTAAATTTTTATAGTGCAGATTCTGTTTTAAGAGCAAGGAGGGGGAGGCATGTTTTTAATTATAATTAAGCATGTTTCCCCCCAAAATTTTAATTTTCATCGTTCTAAGATAAAAAAAACAAACAAAACAGAGCTGTTAGAAACATAACAATTATTTATATTTATCTCTCTCTCTCTCTCTCTCTATATATATATCAGAAATGTTATAGTGCAAATTCTTTTAGGAGCATTAAAGTTTTTGACCAATATTTTATTCATTTTATTTTTTTTTTCAGACGTTTTTCATTATAATTAAGCATGTTTTCCCCCAAAATTTATATTTTCATCACTTTAATGTGATTTAAAAAATCTGGAATAAAAATGTTTAAATATTTGATATTTTAAATATATATATATATATACAGTGGGGGAAAAAAGTATTTAGTCAGCCACCAATTGTGCAAGTTCTCCCACTTAAAAAGATGAGAGAGGCCTGTAATTTTCATCATAGGTCTGTGTGTGTGTGCGCGTCTGTGTGTGTGTGTGTGTGTGTGTGTGTGTGTGTGTGTGCGCGTGTGTGTGTGTGCGTGTGTGTGCGTGTGTGTGAGAGTGATTCTGAGATCCTGGAATGCTGTCTGTGCTCTGTAGCTCAGATATGGACCAGGGTCAATCGTCTCAGCACGACCCACAGAAAGAAAACACTCAATCTAAAACATCCTTCATCTTTCTCTTCCTTCCAGCCCGCAGAGTTTCTGCTGTGATGCCTCTGGCTGTGTTAGTAATGGAGTACAAGTGAACTGCGTACTATTCCATAAATGAAATCTGAATTATTATAGTGCAGATTCTGTTTTAAGAGCAAGGAGGGGGAGGCATGTTTTTAATTATAATTAAGCATGTTTCCCCCCAAAATTTAAATTTTCATCGTTCTAAGATAAAAAACAAACAAAACAGAGCTATTAGAAACATAACAATTATTTATATGTATTTATCTCTCTCTCTCTCTATATATATATATATATATATCAGAAATGTTATAGTGCAAATTCTTTTAGGAGCATTAAAGTTTTTGACCAATATTTTATTATGTATTTTTCAGACGTTTTTCATTATAATTAAGCATGTTTTCCTCCAAAATTAAAATTTTCATCACTTTAATGTGATTTAAAAAATCTGGAATAATTTTTTTTAAATATTTGAAATTTATATATATATATATATATATATATGTGCGTGCTCTCTCTCTCTATGTGTATATATATATATATATATATATATATATATATATATATATATATATATATATATATATATATATATATATATATATATATATATATATATATATATATATATATATATATATATATATATATATATATATATATATATATATATATATATATATATATATATATATATATATATATATATATATGTGCGTGCTCTCTCTCTCTATGTGTATATATATATATATATATATATATAATTTGAAAGAAATCTGTCACTTTTGAACAGTTGAATGGGTCTTTGCTGATTAAAAGTATACATTTTTTTCAAAAGAAAACCTTACTGACCCTACACCTACACTGAAGGGTAGTGTATAATCAAAATATAAATATATTTATATTATTTAAGATATCATGGTAGAATTTGTTTGACTACAATAAAAAATTACATTTTGCATCTGGATACATTATGATAATGAGAATTTTGGGGAAAAATGTCAATATTTGTCATGAAATGTTAATGTCACAATGCAAAAACGATTCACGGTCCTAAAATAAGTGTCATTTTCTTTATTTTTGGGATGAAATGTGAGCTGAACTTGTTTTCCTGTGATTCACCCACACAATGACCTAATGCTTTCCCAAATATACAAACTGTTCCCTGTTCTGCTCACTGGTGCGGGATGCCAGATTTGATGATGTCATCGAGAGTGTGGGCGGAGTCTTGTGGTCGAGTGTTTAAAGTGGACAAGAGTGTGTGTTCCTCCGCAAATTATTTGGCATCCAAATGACGCATTTGTGTTTGAATAGTCAGCATAAGCCATGCAATCATTTCTTTGTCTCTCAGGTTGTGCTCTAAGCTCCAGATCCAGTCCAAGATGGATTCCGCGTATCTGTTGGAGTCCTTGGCTGGGAATTTTATGGATGTAGTGCAATACAATGAGGACAACCGGGCGTTTGAGGTGTGTGAGGTCATTGTGTGTGTGTGTTAGAGATGCACGTTTTGACCACAAGCATGAATATGACATGATCAGAATGAAATGGTTGCAGTTCATGAAGTCTGTGATACTCGGGTCAAAATTAAAGTCAAAGAGTCAGCAAAGCTCAAGTCAAAAAGCAGATCAGTAATTTGTTAAGTGTGTGTGTGTGTGAGAGACAGATAAGAGGCTGTATATTGTCAGGACCTCTTGAGTCAGATTACCAATAAACCGCTGCGCTTCAGAAGAGCAGGAGCTTTTAGAGCTGCAGGATTGAGTTACAGAGAGAGATGAACTGAGTGAATGAGAGGAAGAAAGACGGGAAAACACTTCTGGAGACAATAGACATTTATAGTGGGACATTTTTGGAATGTTGGAACAATCTATGAAAATAAATCTTGAAGGAATAGTTCACCAAAAATGCAAATTTGAAATCAGAACAGATTTGGAGAAATGTAGCATTGCATCACTTGCTCACCAATGGATCCTCTGCAGTGAATGGGTGCCGTCAGAATGAGAGTCCAAACAGCTGATAAAAACATCACAATAATCCACAAGTAATCCACTGGAGTGGTGTGGATTATTGTGATGTGTTTTTAGATACATCTTTGATGGCCTGAGGGTGAGTAATTTTTCAGCAATATTTCATTTTTAGGTGAACTATTACTTTAAAGCAGATGTGATTTGTGAACACAAGCCAGGGAGCTCACACACACACACACACACACACACACAGATTCCCTGGCGTGATCCAAGCAGTGATTGAGTGTGTAAGTGGAATCTGGATTAAGAGGTGTGTCTCTGTAATCAGAGTCCAATCTCGGAATGTTCTTGGAATTTTGGTTCTGGTTCTGATAGATTACAGCTCACGTCCTGATTACGAGAGGCTCCCAGACTTTTGTTCTGAGATGCCTTTTCTGAATGTGTAGTTTTTTTTGGGATAAAATTCTGACAAAACTGTTTCAAGAAGTCGGGCAACATCTTTTGTTCACGGATATCTTCTGAGATAAAAAATATTTTGATTTAATTTTATTTCATTACTTTAATTTAATAAAATTTTTGAAAATGAATTTTTAAATGGTTTTATTAAAGTGTAACAATAAGAAAATAAACCTCAACAGCAAAACAAAAGGCAATGAAACACACACGCACGCACACAAAAACATTCCATCGTAAACAAAAAAGATATTAACAAAAATATATATACAGTATATATATCCTGATTTATAGCTAAGAAAATGTGTGTTTTTCAGGGTGTTGTGGGCACTAACATCACCATAAAGGTGTTGTGCAGTGTGATGCTGGACTCTTCGTTAGGTGAGCCGTACGATCGATACGCCGCTGTGGCTCGACTGATGCAGAACACATTCTCTCAGGCGTGCATAAACACCCAGTACAAGAGCTACATCCAGGACATGAGCAACACAAGCTGGAGCGGCCCTGAGGCCGGAGGAGGTGCGTGCACGTGTGTGTGTGTGTGTGTGTGTGACTGCATGCATGTTGATTTGTGTGTGTTGTGTTTATGTCACACTAATGAGTGTGTTTACATCAGTGAGGCAAGGGAGGCAGTGCCTCCTCAAAATACTGGATAAAAAAATTCTTAGTACAAAAATAAAACTACGCCAATATTACAAAATATAACATTAAAAAGTAAATCACTCGTTTTTCTAAAGAAACACTGTCCAACAGCGACACCAGCAGGTAAAGTTACAGCGGGAGTCTCTCACGACTCTCTCGCCTCCCCTGAGCCCATTGAGTTTTAACAGACCCCCTAAAGCATGCGGTGAGTTTGGTGGGGGGTAATTGAGAATGAATGGGGGAAAATCACGTGAGAGGAGGCAATGCCTCCATTGCGATATGATTGGATCTGACTGGTTATGTTCGGCTGTGATTGGCCAATGTGAATAAATCTAGATTTAAATGCAAAGAGCATAACCCGACATTATATTCGTGTCCAAAATGAGGCGATGTGAACATTACGGAGCGCTAAACGTGCTCATGCAGTGCATGCTTCATTCACACTCGAAGCCTGAGGGAAAGTCCAAAACGGCCTCATAGAAGGAATAACTTATGATGTGCCAGGAAAGCCCTAATATGGACAAAGGCTTCCGGCTGTCTCTGTAGCTGAGCTGAATGAAAAGCAGAAACATTTTGTCTGATGAAACGTGAAGACAATAAATACACGATTGTGACAATAAATGGTTTATATGTGTTTTTCCTAGTCATCTCCAGCTTATCTCCAAGTAAGAGATAAGAAAAAACTAATAAAATAAAATAAATCTCTGTGTCTGTGATCAATATTTACAGAGCTTTGATGACTGATGATCCGAAAAATTCTATTAAGCTTTTAAAAAGAATAGCTGAACATAAGTTAAATAATAAAATGTATTGTTTAAATTGTTACGGCCTTCAGTTATTATTTTTGGAATAAATGTAAAATGCTTAAAAACACTAACTTGATGAGATTCATACTTGGCTTTAATAAACAGAATATCGATTACATTGTTAATGTAAAAATATAAAATTGATTTGTTTTTTTTTTCTTTTTCTGATAGTGTAAGTAATGTTTATTTAACCAAGAAAATGTGACTGGGACATGAATTTACTTTTGATTAAAAAAAAAAAACAGTTTTGAGGACTTTGCCTCCTGATTTCAGAACCTAACATGTGTATGTGATGTTCCTCACTTGTTTTCCAGCTTGCTGCTTTCTATCACAGGAAGTGCAGTCTGGGCCTCTCACTTGTCCTTTCCTGTGTTTTCATGTGTTTTTCCTCTCTGTTTTTCTGAATGAGATCCTGTATTTTTAATGTGATTTCAACAGGTGAATCTCATGAAAACATGTCTAGGAAATTAGATTTAGCATAAAGAAAATGACGCCTAATTAATTTATTTATTTTGTTTATTTGTTTTGGATTTGGTACTATTGGAATGCAAAGAAGGGTTTTCATGTTTTATACATTTAATTTGGCACTTTTTATTTATAACAGTCTTGAATTCAAAATCAGTTGTATTTGTAATATGTTTATGAACGTACAAATGAATGTTTTCTTTTTTTGATGTCCAAAATATTGTATATAGCATAAATGAAGCCTAATGAGTTTTAGTTTTATTGTATTTAGTTATTGTTTTATATTTTATTTTAATTTGAATTTATTTAGACAATTGGTTTTATTTTATTTATTAATTCATATTTATTTTATTTAGTTATCGTTTTATTTTATTTTGTAATTTAATTTATTCTATCTTTTATTTATTTGTTTTGTATTTTAGAATTTTTTTTAATGTTATTGATTGATTTGTATTCTATTTAGTTACTTTTTTATTTATTTATTTTATTTTTGCTTTGTACTTTATTTTATTCATTTAGTTTTTTAATGAAATATCACCCTGACATGAGAGACTTCGCAAGATTTACCCTACATCTTCTGATTCATCAAACATGCCATTATTCCATTGTGAAGCTGAATTTAGTTTGTGTGTTTAGGGCGGCAGTGGGTGTATCAGACCTGCACTGAATTTGGTTTTTATCAGAGCACCGATTCACCGAACCAGCCCTTCAGTGGATTTCCCTTACAGTGAGTGTGTGTTTCAGAGTCATTTTGTGTCTGTCGTCCTGAGGTTGGTTTGTTTGCAGTCGCATTAAGGGTTTAGGGTGAACTTTCTTCTATCTTGCTCTCTCTTTCTTCAGCTATCACCTGCAGCAGTGCGCTGACATATATAATCTCAGCACCTCGTTGGACGATGCTATTCAGCAGACCAATGAAGAATACGGAGGATATGACATCAGAACCACTCGCATCGTCTTCCCCAATGGTTCCATTGACCCCTGGCATGCCCTTGGAGTGACCCGGGACATCACAAGCGACCTTCTGGCTGTCTTTATCAAAGGTCCGTGCCATCTTCTTTATTTTCATTTATCTGTTTTCCGTTGAATCTCACTGGCTCTGCTCTCGCTCAGGTACGGCTCACTGCGCTAACATGTACCCGGCCCGAGCGGAAGACCTTCCTCAGCTGAGTTTAGCACGGGACCATATCTTCATCATGCTCCAGAAGTGGCTGGCCGAGTGACTGACAGCAGCAGCAGCCAATCAGGAGCACAGACGTGTGTAATGGCCAATCACGATGTTTAATGATACCATGGCAATGCAAAGAAGGAATTTTCTTGCTTTAGAAATCCATTTTGATGGTTTTTATAACAATCTTGAATTCAAAATCAGTTTTGTATGTAATATGTTTATGAAAGTATGTCTTCTTTTCTTGATGTAAATCACTTGTGTATATTTTGCAGCAGAGGTTTCTCAATAAAATAAATTTTGTAATGTTAAAAACCTTTATGATTGATTTCATGTTGTGTTTAGGTGTGTGTTTGAATTGTGTTTTTGTTGGAAAATTAAAAAAAGTAAAAAGGTAATAGCGACATGCAACTTTTTATTAACAATTCTGACTTTTCTTCTCAGAATTCTGAGTTTATATCTTGCAAATCTAATATTTTTTTTCTTCTCTGAATTGTGGGATATAAACGTGCAATTCTTTTTTTTTTCTCTCTCGCAATTTTGAGTTTATATCTCGCAATTCTTTTTTTTTTCACCACGGAATAAAAAAAAAAAGTTTAACAAAAACTTTTTTTTATCTAACAATTCTACGTTTACATCTCGCAATTCGGACTTTTTGCAACTATGCGTTTATATCTCACAATTCTGAGAAGTCAGAATTGTTTATATCTTGCAATACTGAGTTTATATCACGATTCTGAATTTATATCTTGCAATTCTAACTTCTTTTCTCAGAATTGCTGAAAAAAAACCTCTGAATTGCGAGATATAAACTCACAATTCGGACTTATTTTCTTGCGATTTTGAGTCTACATCTCACAATTCTGTTGTTTTGTTCCCGCCACAAAATAAAAAAGGAATTGCAACTTTTTATTCAACTATTCTGACTTATTTTCTTGCAATTCTGACTTTATATTTTGCATTTCCAAAATGTATATCTCACTATTCTGTGACTATAATCTTGTAATTCTAACTTTATTCTCAGAATTGCGAGAAAATTGAAAGATAAAAAGTCACAATTAGTTTCCACCACGGTGTATATATATATATATATATATATATATATAAAGTGTTGGGGGTAACGCATTACAAGTAATGCAAGTTACGTAATCAGATTACTTTTTTAAAGTAACTAGTAAAGTAACGTATTACTTTTTAATTTACAAGAGAATATCGCAGTTACTT